CGTGCTCCCGCCCTCCCTTCGGGTGCTGCTGGGGAGCAGCGGCCGTGCAGCATGGTGGGGTGTTTGCGCGCTGCGCTCACTGCTTCTTCCCTGCAGGCAGCGACTGCCGGGGCTCGTCCTTGTCCCAGAGCGATGCCCTGTGGTTTACAACAGCCTTCTGCAGACCCCCCCATCTTCATCGCGGGCCCCCGAGGCCCTGCTGGGCTCTGGCAAGGGCAGGTTGGACCACTTGGCTGCAGCAGGCACTGGGCAAAGGAGGCTGAACCCCCAAACCTGCTGCCGCACGGGGCGAGACCTCGAGAAAACACAGGTGAGAGGTGGGAAGGTGAGGGGAGCAGCTCGGGACCCGCCACGGATGGACAGGGCAGGAGAAAGAGCTGAGAAACAGCACAAGGGGAAACACCATGGGGAACAAGAGCCTTGGGAGGGCGCTGTGCTGGAAGAGGGACAGGGAAGGGGGGAACAAGCCCCCCCACCTATGCCCTGACCCTTTGGCGTGAGAGCTCCCCATCCAGCCCTTGGTTCTCCCCAACCCCAGGCTAGTGAAGTCCAGACCCAGATCTCTGCTCCAAAAAGTCATCTTTATTGTGCCAAGGGGTGGGGGGGACAATTGTAAACAAGTATGTGAAATATACAGGTTAAGTTACTCGTCGTCTTATTAACAAAATAAAGCTCTATCTATATTTACAGTCTTTTTTTTTTAAAAAAAAAAAAAAGAGGAAGAGCTGCATCTTTGTTGGGCGCGTCTGCTTCCAGCCCCCTCTGCAGCACAGCCCATCCCACCCTGGGAGCCGGCACCCCTGCCCCAGGGACCCCGGCCCCAGCCAGAGCAGCCCAGCCCCAGCCCCGCTGCAGCCTGTTTCTGGCTGTCGCCACAGGGCGGTGCACGGAGTCTGCACACAGTCGGACAGCGTGGACACGCTACCGGACAGCACGTACGGACAGCTGGACAGTGTGTACGGACAGGCGGACACTGTGCATGGACAGCCGGACAGCATGCATGCACAGCTGGACAGCATGCAGGGACCGATGGACACCGTGCAGGGACCGATGGCCACCGTGCACACACAGCATGCACAGACAGCACGCATGGACAGCCGGACACACGGCCACGCCACACCCCAAACACCCCCGGGCCAGGCTCTGACCAGAGCAAGGTATTATCTTTTTT